TTTGTGTGCGTGTTTGTTTTGGTGCATAAATCTGGTATAAGGGCATGACAAGGAGGATTTAGTTTGAGCTGAACAACAAAGTTCTTATACAAGCCACTGAGGAGAGAGGAGAGGACAGGAGGAAGGAAGAAATGCAGAAGAAAAGTGGGAGAACAGCATTTATTATAAATGTGAATGAAGGTTTGTTTGGCTTTGGTGCTCTTTAAAAAAGCTTTTAGCTAGCCGATAATAACTTATGATAAACAGCAGCCACAAGTTGCAATAACAGTAATGGTGTGCTAAAATGTAGCGTCACAGTAACACAAGAAGACAAGACTCATTAAAGCAAGAAGTCAAAGCTGCACCCACCCACACCCGTTAATAAAAGTCCTGTGACCTGACTCCCACCCACGATCAAACACACAGGCTACAGCCACTCTCAAAGACCAATTCAAGAAGCTTTGTAATAACAGATGCTTGTGGAGAAAAGCTCCAGCACAGAGAGAGTAGAGTGAAGGTCATACTGTTGCTTCTAAAAAATGATATCATGATGGTAGGTAGGGTTTGCATGCCCTGATAAACGTGTGTGTGTGTGTGTCTGTGTGTGTATGATGGAGCCCTGAGCACCATTCAAAAGCTAAACCCCACATTTCTCATGGCAGCCTCTCGACAGCCGTTCCCATAGTAACTCCAGTAGGTCAACCAATGAAAAGAGGGGGCTGGGCAGGAAGGAGGATGGGCGAGTGTTTGGGGGNTTGGGGGGGGGGGGGGGGGGGGTGACACAGTGTGTGAGAGACGTGATTGGAGTTGAACTGGTGCAGTAAAACATTTTGACAGATAAAAACACACACACACACACACACACACACACACTAACCTACAAGTTGAAATGCAAATATATTTTTGTCATAGACAAAAAACAACAACAGGAGCATCAACAAAAGTGCTCTGACCTTTAACACACATCCTCTAAACACATCAATTCCTCATATAAAAGGTCATTCTGCACCACCGTGTTTCACCTCTACGACCTCATGGGACGCCCCCCCCCCCCCGCCCCCGCCACCTCCTCCACTACCTCCACCTTTTCTCTTTGTCCTCGTCATCTTCCCTCACTTCTCTCGCTCTCTCCCGTAGGATGCCAGAGTTCCTCTCAGGGCAATGTTGTGTAATCGTTTCACTTGTCAATAATTCAACGGACAAGCTTTTGACTCTGTGAATGGGCGGATCTGTTCGGCACACCGTGAAGACGGCACAGTGTGATGCTGAGTGTGAATCTGGGGTACAACCATAAAGGATGAACAGGCATGTGTTTCTCTACAGTGGAGAATTCTGACTTTGAAACAACAAAACGCCAGGAAACAAGATGTTTAATTAAGTTCCAAACTGAATTGGACATTGTGAGCAGCAAAATAGAATATCAATTGAATTATGAATCACGAGATGAATGCAACTGATGTTCCCTTTTGCGGATACAAGGTCAGGGAAGTGAGATAATGGCCTGATACACAGTACAATGGCTTGAATTTAGCCTTCAATAATGAATTAATAATGATTAATTTCACTAAACTAAATTTGTGCTGAAACTTTTGTGACATGCACAAGGTATTTGTCCTGATTGCCTAAATTATTTCCACATAACACTTGTATGTAAATACCAGCAGTGTTGGAATGTAACTAAGTACAACACATTTTTATGCAACTTTATACTTTTACTTCACTGCACCTCAGGAGCAAATGTTCATCTTACAGCTACTTTTCAGATTACAATTTTTTATGCCTGTCTTTTCTAGTAAAAACCATGTATCTCCTTAACTGGTGATATTTGTTGAGAAAATTCTCCTTCATTTTAAGATAAACCACTCATTCATTCATTCATTCATTCATTCATTTATTATCCATAAGGCACTGGTCGTGGGGAGAAGTGGGACAAAGCTGGAGAACCTGGAACACACACACCAACATGGGGAGAAGATGCAAACCCAAGGTGACAGTGCTAACCACTGGAACACTGTGCTGCCCTAAGATGAACAAACTGTTTTTAAAAACGTCTTGGAAAAGCTGGAAAATGCATCACCAGAAAGCTGAAAACAGGGCTGTTTTTGAGCTCATGAAAAGTCAATGTGGTTGCGTAACACATTTGGTGGTTGCATAGTTCTCTCAGGACAGCAACGCTACTAACATATAGATACAAATATATATAGATCTTAGAGAATATGATGCACTTTGTAGATTAAACCACCCAACAGTATATATCAGTCCAGTATTGAGTGAGACCACTGCAGCTGGCAGCAGTGAAACAGGCTGCAATGTAACCACTTGGGGCAATTGTGCATCGTCAATGCACATCTTCCAAAAGTGCTTCTTTTGCCACTGACAGGCTCAGATTGTTATTCAGAGTGTCCGACAAAATAAAAAGGATCCCCACAGAGATGGACCTTTTTGTTAAAGAGTAAGATCCTTTTTGTTCAACCAGAAACAGCCTTGAAATCACCACTAATAAACAATAATTTTATCATTGTAAAACACACTTCATTCAAAGTCCAGAATCTGGTGGTTTTGGCGATAGCAATTTTGGGGATGTTTCAGGTTCCACAAAAAGGATCCTTCTCTTTAACACAAATGTCTGTTTATGTAAGAATCCCTTCCATAATGTTGGTAGACACTTCCAATAATAAATAATACCCTGTCTGTGGCAAAAACAAGCACTTTTACCAGACATACATTGAGGGCGGGCAGTTGCCCCAAGTGATTACATTGCACCCTGTTACACTGTTGCGGACTGCTGCTCTCTCGCTCAATAATGGACTAGTTTCAGAAGTTGTTGTTCCCATAAATCACGTAGACACAAACATGTGATGAAACCAGGGAACAAAGCTGAAAAATACCAAAGTTATTCTTTAAGCATCTGCAGCAGTAAAATGCAACATACACTTAATGCAGCAGTAATATTAATCCAAAAACATTACATTTGATAGTAAACCACTGACAGGGAATATTTTACTGCAAAATGACTTATTTTACTTTTGATACTTTTGAAAAGTATATTTTGCCAATAATGCTGTCATACAAAGACAAAACTTTATTAATCCCAAAAGAAATTATTGTGCCAGAGACTGCTCAACAATTACATCACCATGAGAACAAAAACAGCAGTGTAATAAATGTAAAGTGTACAAGGAGAAAAGCTAACACAAGTGCCTAGTACCAGTATGACAGTGGTTTAAGTAATTAAAAAAAAGTAAAATGTGATATTACATGTGATTTGGAAGGTAACTGCACATGATATTGAGATATTAAGATGTTAATATTATTTATCTCAGTGTCCAATGTTTCAACTGGCATTCCAGCAGAAGGGGGAGGAGTTATTCCGTTTGCCACAACTGGTGTGTGAGGTCATATTTCTTAAACCCCTGAGGCCTCCAACTATACCTGCTACCCAGTCTCACTCCAAAGTAATCAAAATCTGGCACTTGGGTGGTGACTTCCAGGGTCAGACATCAACAAAAATAGGCCGTCCTTTCATGTCGGCATGATACATGGCTGATTGGCATTATAGTTAACATCAGGGGGAAACTTGACAGGACAAAAGCGAAAGTTACAGAGGCGACAACCACCAACCTTCTGCCGGGAGGGCTGTGTTCGTTTCCCATAAGATTGTAAAGCCAAACCCTGTTCTTTTTTCCGAAACCCAACTACATGCTTTTGTTGCCTAAAGTCAACCATGTGTGTGTATAGGCAAAACCTAACCACATGCATTTGTTGTTAAAGGAAAAAAAACATCCATTTGCAGTGTTGTACCAAAAGTAGTGCATTTATTTTGAAAGACACAGTATGTAAAAAGTAATATTCCTGTGAAAACGGAAGTGTATTTCTGGTCTTCATGTTTATCTGGTTCCGGATTTTTTTTAAATATGTTCATACTGCTTCTATAAACCAATAGAAAGAGAAATACAAAAGAAAAAAACAGTTTACAAAGTGCTTTGACAAACAAAGCAAAGCAGAGGCAGGATACCCCAGAAGCATGTCAGGTCTGTCAACATGTTGACAGACCTGACACTCCTGACAGACCAGACAGTCTGGAAAAATGTCTGAGACTTTCTGACACAGCCCCAAACTGGTTCTATCTGCAGGACAGGGACCACTTTCTGTCAATGGGTATTTATACATCTGAGTGAACAAGAATGACGTGGAGTTCCCCAAGGCTCCAGTCTCAGGCCTCTTCTGTTCAACTGTAACTGGATGTGCCACTTATTCAAGGGGGTTTCAGGGACCCCAATTAGTAGTCCTTGTATGTTAAATATGTTGGTGGCATGAAGGTTAATCTCACCAAACTAAAACATGTCTCTCTTTTTTTTTATTAATTTGTGTCCTGCCAACACAAGTTTTGTAAAAAAATTTTTACAGTGAGACATGATGAGTCTCCCATCACCTCCTGCAAAGCTGTGTAATAAAGGTAAAAACATTTTTTTTATTTGCTCAGTGGTGGAAGAAGTATTCAGATCCTTTATACTTACGTAAAAGTATTAATACCGCACTGTGAAAATACTCCATTACAAATCAAATTTCTGCATTTAAAACTTAATTGAGTAATAGTATGTTATCCTCAAAATGCACTTAAAGTAAGACAAAGTAAGGTTCTTATCATGCTTTAAAATGTTCTCTGTCATTGTTTTACGATTACATATGATGTTTTTGGATTATTTTTTACTGCTGCTCCTGCGTTCACTTTGGTTATAGCAACTGGTTCTACCAAATGATACCTGATATCATCCAGGAAAATTAAAACATAATCCTGACATGAACTGTACAAAAATGAATAAACCCCAGTAAAGATCAAAACTGTAATTGACACAAAAATGTCCCATTGTTAGAGGGATAATGAAATGTTTATTTACGATACTAATAAGATGAGATCTGCTGAGTATAGAGAGATTATATGGTAAATTATGTGTATTGATGATATTCAAACTTGCAAGCAAATTTTCAAAAAATGACAGCTTTAAGTAGTTTGTGACTCATTCACAGTGTGCTCACCATAAATTTAATTTAGCTGTGGCCATACATTTTATTGCAGTTCTTAGTTTTTAAAAACATTCTTACAGTTTTCAAAGCAAAGGTACAACCATCACATCAGTTTTGCAAATTACAATAAATAACTTAAAGCAGTGAACCCATCTTTGGAAAAGGGAAACATCAGCCAGTGCCACCAAAATGGATTGTCCCTATTCATTTCATCACTTTCTTCAGGCTGTCTCGTATTTACAATGAGCAGAGACATATGTCTCAATAAAAATGCTGAAATTTAGAAAATATTGTGTAAATGATAAATGAAATATAAAGGCCTCTTCACCACATTATTGGCCAACCAAACACTGTGGTCTGTCCTCTGTGTTGTCCACTTCATGTGTATTTTTTGTCCTTATAATACACTCAAATCAGCCACATCTTCTACATCTGAATTATGTGTAAAGGCAATGACAGATTAAAGTATAGATGTAGAATATTTCATGCTCTACTCTGAGAGAGGTGATTGTCATTCAAGGATTTAAAGTATCTCTGTACTTAATATTCATAAAGATTGCATTCTCTTTATTCACACACACATATACTCGCATACTACACATGCATACAAGTGTGCAAACATAATTCACATCAGTTGCACCTACTTTTGTTTGAGTCTACACCTTTGCCGGAGCTCCAACATCCACAGTAATATACGTGTACAGTTTATCCTTCACAATCTCCTTGACTGTGTACTTTAAGGTATTAATCCCATCTTTATCCATGGTCTGCCTGGTTTGCCTCAGTTTGCTGTAAGTCTTTGGGTTACTCTCATTGTGCGGGTCTCTCTTATGTTTGATCATCCTGTACTTTCCTGTCACCATGTCAGGTCGGGAAATGGTCATTCCACGTTGGGTAATTCGCGTATAAAGATCATCATCCTCACCACCCCAGCCCCAGTAAGTGTTCGAGAACCCGTTAACCTTTGAGAATTGCTTCTTGGACAATGCACTAACCCCACCAAAGATGGTTTTATAGGGTAACCTGAAGATGAATTTATCTACAGCCACAGACAAGTGTCGAGGACTGTCAAAACATCTGTAGAGGTTGCGGTCATCCATAGGAATCAGATCTATGTCAGAGAAGACAAAGCAGTCAAAATCATATTCCTTCAGTGCTTCAGCGTGGCCTATGTTCATCAGTTTCGCCCGGTTAAACACTCCCTCTCCATCCTGGTTGATGACATACACTCTGTAGTCCGACTGCTGTCGCATCAAAATAGGATGGAGGTAATACAGCCAGTGCTTAAGGTGCTCATGCCGATTTCTGAATGGGATGATGATCGCCACCTAAACAAATGAAATACGTAAGTTTGCTTTCACATAAATGTAAATCATCATTGTAGAAATCCGATTTTTTAAGTGGGATTGTATAAAATACTTATCTACAGTACATGTCAGTAGGCACGACCCCAGTTTGGAGAACCAGGCAGGAGTGCCACCATGGATGTTAAGCAATGCACTGCTGTCGGGGCGAGCAGCAGCAACACAAACTTTATCCGTCTAAAAAAAGGCCAACCTGAAAAAGTAAATATTGATTCAAGTGTACGCTATGTTTGGAATATTTTCACCGTTTTATTTTTCTGTCAAATGGCCCTTTCTGACTGGGAACTGAATCCATTATCATGTTCTCTTCAAAGCCACCAGACTCCTTTGACAAACAATCATTTTTCTTCACAAAACAAGTGAGTTTCTGGTCTTCCACTGCCTCGATCTATCAGATTGTGTCATTGTGTGACCTTGGTGTTTTAAATGGTTAGTTAAGATTAACCAAAGTCACACAATAACACAAATTAACCAACTGAGGCAGCAGTAGATCAGCAGTTCCCGTCTTCTACAAAGTAAAATGACTGTATTAGTCAAAGGAGATTTTGCCAAGTAGGACATGCTCCTGAATCAGCATCCCACATTGCTGCCTGGGCCAACATTGCAATCAATGAATCACAGCCCTCTGACATCATCACTGTGCTGCTCCTGTGCTTCTTTCAGAAATCCTTGTTTTCCAAATTGAAATTAGTACAATTAAAACAAAATCATCAGTAACACTGAACAAAAACCGTTTCAGCTACTGCAGGGTTAGCGAGTTAGCTTGCTAACTAGGTAGCAAGGTAGCTACTTGCCAATAGGCTGGAATATAGTCCAAACAAATTCATATAGGCTAGCCTACATGACGCTTCTGATGATGACGACAGACGCAGTCGTCAAAACAGTCAAGGTATGACAAAACAAAACTCAAGCCTGTAATAAGAACCATTTCAAGCTAAGGCTAGAATATAAGCAAGTTAGCTTGCTAGGTAGGTAGGCTAAGCTAACAAGTAAGCCATTCATTAACAAAGAGTGAGGATAATAAATGTTGTGAGTTACAAATTCCTGCAATAAACACATTTACAAGGTTTTTGTTTAATGTTATTTAGGATTTTGTTAAATTGGACAAACTGATGATGCAGAAAAGCAGACTGATGATGTCAGAGGGCTGCAGTTGGTTGACTGCAATATTGGTCGTGGAACGCAATGTGGGATGTTGATCCAGGAGCATGTCCCACTTGGCAAAATCATGTTGTCATGGAGTGCAATGCTCCTTGAAGAGAGCATAGATGGATTCAGATTTCCCGTCAGAAATCACTGTAAAATACTGTAAAATATAGCGTACACTAAAAATATTATTAATTAAGGTCGGCCTTTTTCAAGGGTGTTCAGATAAGTTTTGCTGTCGGCCCTGGCCACAGTAGTACATTGCTTGATTTCCATAGCAGTACTCCTCCCTGCCTGTCTGAACTATGGACAGTACCTCGTACATCCACACTTTAGAAAAAATCCAAACAATCCCTTTAAGGCTTTGGTGGTAAAATCCGTATAACTCTTTTAATAATAGCAAGTATATTAGCAGTAGAAAGTAGAATTTGGTGAAATTAATTTCTTTTTTAAATGAGTTCATATAGTACTTATGATATATATGGTCTTTGTTTTAACCCTTTTAGATCCCCCGTCCACTCCAAAAGGGGGAAAAGCAACACATAATTTTGCTTTGAAGTGCGATCTCTTTCAAAAAAATTTAAAATCAATTTTTTGTTTTTTTATTTTGATCCAAACATTATACAAATAGCACATACTGTACATGAAATTCTTTTACTCAAGTTTTGACACCTGTTTCAGGAATCTGAAATCATGGTAAACTGATCCAATTATTCTGTTCATTTATTCATTTGTTTCTCCATTTATTCACCTACCTTCTGTTGGGCGATACAGTCTGGTGGTTTGTGCCATCCTCCTAACCGAAGAGGAGAACCAACCTCCTCTCTCACCTCATCCAGAGTCCGTGTAGAATTAAACTCCACGTGGACTGGACCCAGAAGATTTGGAGGGGTGTCAGGGCAGGGTACCAAAGTCTTGATCGTAACCGGTGACATCTGTGTCCCTTCTCGGCCTGCATTTGGATCTTGAGTTGTCAGGTTAAAAAGTGTTTTTATCCACTGGGAAAGTGTGTCGTTTCCATTTTCCATACTTTGTGGTTTTGTAAAAAGAAAAAAAGCGCCGTTTCTGCTGTGGAATAGAAGCACAGCAAAACACGCCATACTGAGGAAACAAAAAAAGACCAGGATGTTAAAGAGTTTTTTCAGCATTTTTGCTTCCTCTGATTATAACTACTGTCCACTCAACAGCTCTCTTACAGCTCTGCTACCTGTGTGTCTCTTTGCAAGTCAAATATGTTTCAACCAAAATAGTAACTAGACAAGTTTTATTGACTTGGGGGTAGCTTCCTTTTTTACATAACCTGTTAAGCCAGTCGCTCCCCCTGGTTGGGTAAAGCAGTGCTCTTCAGCAAATGTCTCACTTGCTTATTTGGAGGTGGTTTGACATAACTGTCTTGAGAGAAATGCTCAGTGGAAATGTCGAGCTGTCTTAGCATCACCTGTGGAATGTTGTCTATGTTCAGCAACTAACCACGGCTATTTCAGTTTCTTTGTTTGAAACACTCGGAGAAAAACACAAGCACACATTATTTTTGAAATCTCTGAAGAATTGATGTTACTCTTGTCACACTTATACAAGACCATACAACAAAGATGAACACTAAAACAGGGGGAGAGGTTAGACTTGTACTTTGCTTTGTGATTAGAAAGTCATAACCGAAACATACCAAGGCACACTGCTTTGCAAAATAAAAAGGTTGTACTGAATGGGCTTGGCGCTGAGCAGAGCATCTCTTCACCCCCTGTACTCGGTAGCAAACAGCCATGGACAGCTGCAAAAGGAAGAACTGGCAACAGACCCTCCCAACAACAACCAAATGTACAACCGGACAACAGATGCTCAACTGTTGCAGGGCCCTGGATCTTCCTCTGATGACTTGGATAACCTCTTATCTTCACCCTGAAGGGTAAAAAATAACAGCACATTCTCACACCTTGTCACACGTTGAAGTTCGGTCATGGACTTTCCATGTCAGATACCATGTGAAAGGTATCCTGGATGTATTGGTTGTTGATGTATCAAGTTCCGCCTGTTACATGCATTGTACAAAATTCACTTCCGTTTTTACAGGAAATTTAATGTTTATGTACAGTCTCTTTCAAAATAAAAACTCTACGCCTGTACAACAACATGACTTGATGTTTCTTTTCCTCCAACAACTAAAGCATCTGATTGGGTTTAGGCAACAAAAGCATGTGGTTGATGCGTCTCCTCCACCACACTCACCAGGGAGGATTTGGTTAAAGCTTCCAGACTAAAGCCAAATCAAACTGATGAACTGTTATACAGCAAATACTGCAGACATAAACACTAAGGTGTCCATCAGAAACTAGACAGACCCCATGCCCCGTCTTTGAGCATACCAGTGATTTTAAACAGCAGGTAACCACAACCAGTCTCATTTCTTGTAACAGAATCCCTACAGCTGAAATGAGCTCTTCTATATGTCAGGTCATTGACGAAAAATCCTACTAAAGATCTATTAAAGGTCTGATAAGTGCAAAGACTTTGCATTTATTGTTTTCAGTTGAAACCTAGCTGAACAACACTACTGGTGTAGAAGCTTGCACTACAAACTATTCTTAATCAGCCAGTCACCCAAAACAGGAAAGGAGGACGGATTGCAGCCATCTTCTCTGTACAGTTTGTGTGTAATGACATTGACCTGTGTGAATTAAAATCATAAACGATGTGGATTTTTTTCAACTGATAACAAGAACCGATAATTACCTGCTCCTCATGGCTGATAACTGAAATGATAACCAATAATTTCACATTTTTGTATTTTAAAGTGTAGTGTAGTGTAGTTTATGTACACCTGAGGGTAAGAAAGGCTAAGGTGTGGTGAGAAAATATGGATGATTTAATACTCCATAGCCCTGACCTAACCAAATCAAACCGACATAACTACTGTTAACACAACAAACAAGAAAAGCAGTTCTGACTAGAGATGCACCAATCCAGCTTTATCAGTTTCGATACCGATCCCGATGCTGTGGCTTTGAGTATCAGCCGATACCTGATACCAATCCGATACCATGGTTGACCTAAAAAGCTATACTTTACATGTAGAACAGAAAGGACTAGAGGCATCAGGCATTGATGACTACACAGTTCTTTCCTAAGATAAAATGAAACAAGATGAAACAGATTAATGCAATGATGAACTATTTATTTTTAACAAAAATAAACAATTGTGCAACAGCAGTTGAAATAGTGTGAAATGCCTCCACACAGCAGATTCTCTCCTTCGCTCCATGACGTATGACGTAGCTCGCGTCGCAATAGATTTAAAGGGAAAGGATCGCCTCAGGTATAGGTTGCATTTTCTGATACCTGATCCATCTCTTTTGATGATATCGGGGCCGATATTTGATCCAGATATCGGATCGGTGCATCCCTAGTTCTGACTCTTCATACCTGCCAACATTTGGCTGTGAAAAGAGGGAGGTTTTCTGGGGTGTTGTCAAATACCCTCAACACCCGTCCCCATATAACCCTACACTATAGATGAACATAATAAATATGAGAGTAAAATGACTTTTAATCAGTATCAAATTTATAGTTAACAGATGTAAGCCGCTGTTGCTAATTAGCTCATGCTAACACTGTGGAGACGGTCCTTTAGTGCTGTGTCTAAACAGGCACAGGTGGTCAGGGATCAGCCCCTTGGCGCAATCCTGTTGTCTTCTGGTGCGTTCGTTTTGTACTCAGAGGTTGGAAGTCGGAAGTGGGAATGACGTCACCTCTGAGTTGACAACAGTTTTTGCATTCTAGTTGACAACGGTGGACAAGTCGGATAAAAACATGGACGTTACCGTTCTACCGTTGGGCTAGCCGTAGCCACTGTTAGCAATATCAGTTGATAACAATGCTCTCTGTGGTATTTTGCACATACAGACAACGTGGCAACATGCCCACAGAAAAAAATTGAACAGTACTATGGCTATGGCTGACCTAATGTAAGACAAATAAGATAAAATTGTTATAAACAGTACTTTAGCAGAATGTTTACTCACTATGTATGTGACCAGCAGCCATCTTGAATTCGTAAGGTTGATGCGGTTGCTCCGAGTTTCCGAGTTGGAAACCCAATCTTAGGGTGCGTTTGAGTTTAAACTTCCGACTGCGAACTGGGAATTTCCGACCTCCGAGTACAAAACGAACGCACCATTCCTCTGGATCTGATGTCCTCACTGCAACATGTTTTGCCCTCTAGACAGCATGCTGCAGTTGTTGTTGTTCTTCTTCTGTGTTCATTGGCAGCTCACAAACCAAGTTTAAAGGTACATGTGCTGCCACCCACTGTGTCGGTTGTGTAGATGCTGCCCTTGTTAAATCAGTGAAGGCCGCTGAGCTTTGTATTTCGCAGCTATTCATCAGCTATGATTTCAATTATCAGATTAATGCATAATTATAAAAATATCCCATTATCGGTCGACAATTTATTGGTCCGATATATATCATGCATCTCTATTTGAATATCTTGCGCTTGAGCTCAAAGCAGCGTTATTAGTGCTCATGAGTTTAATCTGTTGTTCATCAAAATGACGATTAACAGGAGTGAGAAATTTACATCACCTATCTTCAAAAAAGAAAAGTAAACATCAACCATCAAAATGAATTTTCCACAATTTATTTCATCTTTCATTACTTTCCTATATGTCCCATATTTACAGAGCAAATTTAATACTGTTGTCTGGCTTCTGTATCATCCATTTCATCCTTAGAATACATAATAATCAGCGCTGGAAGTAACATTCCCCAAGATGTATCTTGAGTCCGCCTGTAGAAGGTAGTTGTGTTTCTACATCTGAATTATGTGTAAAGGCAATGAGAGATTACTGATGTAAAACATTTCATGCTGTATATTGAGAGTAATGATAGTCTATAAAGGACTGAAAGAAATTCTGCACTTTATATTAATGAAGTAAACATTCACTTTAGTTAACATGGACACACAAACAAATACATACACGCACACAGGTTTGCACGCCGGTCTGCGAAACTAGAGGCCCAAGACACACACCTGCCCCAGGCTAAGTAACAAAATAAATAGCACATCATGTACAGTGCCCTCCAAAAGTATTGGAACAGTGAGGCCAATTCCTTTATTTTTGTTGTAGACTGAAAATATTTGGGTTTGACATCAAAAGATGAATATGGGACAAGAGATCAACATTTCAGCTTTTATTTCCAGGTATTTACATCTGGATCTGATACACAACTTAGAAGATAGCACCTTTTGTTTGAACCCACCCATTTTTCATGAGAGCAAAAGTATTGGAACATGTGACTGACAGGTGTGTTTTGTTGCCCAGGTGTCTCCCAATTACATTGATTATTCAAACAATAAATAGCACTGAATGTCTGAGCTCACTTTCAGATTGGGTACGATAGGTTTTGCCTGTGCAGACTGCATTTAGAGGTGGAACCAACATGAAAACCAGAGAGCTGTCTATGGGTGAAAAAGAAGCAATTGTGAATCTGAGAGAAGATGGACAATCAATCAGAGCCATTGCACAAACATTGGCCATAGCCAGTACAACCATTTGGAATGTCCTGAAGAAGAAAGAAACCACTGGTGTACTAAGCAACAGACGTCGAACAGGTAGACCAAGGAAAACATCAGCAGTTGATGACAGAAACATTGTGAGAGCTGTAAAGAAAGACCCTAAAACAACTGTTAGTGACATCAGCAACAACCTCCAGAGGGCAGGAGTGAAGGTATCACAATCTACTGTTCGCAGAAGACTTCATGAACAAAAGTACAGAGGCTACACCAGATAGATGCAAACCACTCATTAGCAAGAAGAATAGGAAGGCCAGGCTGGAATTTGCCAAAAGGTACAGAGATGAGCCTCAAAAATTCTGGGAAAAAGTTTTATGGACTGATGAGACAAAGATTAACTTTTTCCAAAGTGATGGAAAGGCGAAAGTTTGGAGAAAGAAAGGATCTGCTCATGATCCCAAACATACAAGCTCATCTGTGAAACACGGTGGAGGTAATGTCATGGCTTGGGCTTGCATGGCTTCTTCTGGGACGGGCTCTTTCATCTTCATTGATGATGTAACACATGATGGCAGCAGCAAAATGAACTCAGAAGTCTACAGAAACATTCTGTCTGTTAATTTAAAGAAAGATGCAACCAAACTGATTGGGAGATCCTTCATCATGCAGCAAGATAACGACCCAAAACACACTGCCAAAACAACAAAGGAGTTCATCAGGGGCAAGAAGTGGAAGGTTTTAGACTGGCCAAGTCAGTCTCCAGACTTAAACCCAATAGAGCATGCATTTTACCTGCTGAAGAGGAGACCGAAGGGAGTAACCCCCCAAAACAAACAACAACTGAAAGAGGCTGCGGTGAAAGCCTGGAAAAGCATCACAAAAGAAGAATGCAAAAGTTTGGTGATGTCAATGGGTCACAGGCTTGATGCAGTTATTGAAAGCAAAGGATTTGCAACTAAATATTAAGTCTCATTCACTTTAATCTATTCTAAGTTTATATGTTCCAATACTTTTGCTCACCTAAAAATTTTGTGTTCCATTACAAATAATGCTATCTTCTAAGTTGTGTATCAGATCCAGATGTAAATACCTGGAAATAAAAGCTGAAATGTTGATCTCTTGTCTCATATTCATCTTTTGATGTCAAACCCAAATATTTTCAGTCTACAACAAAAGTAAATGAATTGGACTCACTGTTCCAATACTTTTGGAGGGCACTGTACATAAAAGTCTACTGACAAAGTGACGATGTTGGTATAAGACTGTGTCGGCTCTATGCATCACAAATTCATTTAAAGGGTAATTGTGCTTTTACATCTGATTAGAATGAATTAGAGAAACATACAATACAAGCGAACAGGTTTGTGTAACTCAACACAAAGATACACACCTGCCCTCGGTTAAATGAGACAGACTGGATGAACTGGATTCCCAAAGATTTTAAAAACATAAAATCACACCTTACACTGTGACACCAGTGAATCAATCCAGCAGATCCACAGGTTCTGTCCTCATTTAGCTTGGTGGAACCCCAACATCCACAGTGATATAAGTGTAAAGTGTATCCTTCACAATCTCCTTGACTGTGTAGTTTAAGGAATTAATCCCATCTTCATTCATGGTCAAATAGGTTTGGTGCAGCTTGTTAGGATTCCTTGGGTTAGGTTCGTTGTGCAAGTCTCTCTTATGTCTGAGCATCTTGTACTTTCCCACCTCCGGGTCAGGTCAAGAAATGGACATTCCACTGTAGATAATCCGCCTATAAATATCATCGTCCTCACCACCCCAGCCCCAGTAAGTGTTTGGGTAGCCATTTATCTTCAAGAACTGCTCCTTGGACAATGACCACACCCCACCAAAGATGTTTTTATAGGGTAACTTGAACCTAAATTTATCTACAGCCACAGCCAAGTGTCGAGGATTATCAAAACATCTGTAGAGGTTGCGGTCGTCCATAGGAATCATATCTACGTCAGAGAAGACAAAGCAGTCAAAATTGTAATCCTTCAGTGTTTCAGTGTAGCCTGCATTCATCAGTTTAGCCTTGTTGAACACTCCCTCTCCATCCTGGTTGATGACATACACTCTGTAGTCCGACTGCTGTCGCATCAAAATAGGATGGAGGTAATACAGCCAGTGCTTAAGGTGCTCATGCCTATTTCTGAATGGGATGATGATCGCCACCTAAACAAGTGAAATAAGTAAGTTACAGGCAACTCAAAAAAACATCTGGGAGCAGAACAAAAATCCAAACTAAAACCAACCAGGAAAAGACATGAAGACCAGGGATGGATGCATGATGGCAGGAATGATGAACACAGAAGGTACACAGACGGACGCAGAAGATACGCAGAGGTACGCAGACGGACTGACCCAGGACAAAGGGAAACACACAGGTATATAAACACAAGAATGAGACACAGCTGGAGAAGGAAGAGATGGGCAAAAGGAGTGAAACAGGGATTGGCTGACAAGAAGAATGGAGCAGACAAGACCAATACAGAACAGGTGTGAAAGGAAGACTCAGGGAACAGGCAAGACCTAACGAGACAGGTGTGCCAGAAAACTGATTTCAGGTATCTAAAATCATGGTAAACTGTTCTAGTTTTTATTCTGTTCATTTATTCATTTTTACTCTCCATTTATTCACCTACCTTCTGTTGGGCAATACAGTCTGGTGGTTTGTGCCGTCCTCCTTCTTGAAGACGAGGTCCGACCTCCTTTCTCACATCGTCCAAAGTCAGTTTAGGATAAAGCTTTACATGGAGTGAACCCACAAGATTTGGAGGGGTGTCAGGGCAGGGTCCCAGGGTCTTGATTGCAGTAGTCCTCAGTTGAACATGTTCAGGTGTGTCGTCTCCATTTGCCATATGTTGTGGCTTTGTAAAACAAATTAAAGTGTTGTTTTGGCTGTGGAATAGAAGCACAATAAAACATGCCAAACTGAAGATAGTAAAAAAGACCAGGATGTTAAAGAGCTTTTTCAGCATTTTTGCCTCCTTTGACGTTGAGTACTGCTCACTCAGCAGCTCTCATACAGCTCCTCTACCCAAACCTCTCTTGGCAAATCAAGTATGTTCCAAGCAAAAGAGTAGCCAGGCAAGTTTTATTTTCTTTGGGTGCAGCCTCCTTGTTACTGTAAGCTGTTCAGGTTGGGCCTCATACCTGCTGTATTAATCATGGTGTTTAAGATTTGTTTCCTCGTGGGTTTCCCAGAATCTAATCAATAAATTGAATTAAAAGTGTACAATACTGTCATTATAGTTCTTTTAATAGTATAGTATAGTAATAGTATAAACCCAAATTCTAAAATGCTGAAACGCTGTGTAAGACAGTACAAACAGAATTTAATGATTTTCCAGATCCTTTCTACCTGTTTTCAATTGACTACAGTAGAAAGACAAGATTTTAAAAGTTCAAACTGATATACTTTTTGTTTTTGTACATTTTCACTCATTCTCAATTAGATGCCTGCAACACAATCCAAAAAAGTTGGGACGGGAACGCCTCCTGTAAGATTATAAAGCCAAATCCTATTCTTTAATTCTAAACCTAACCATGTGCCTTAGTTGTTAGAGGGGGGGAAAAAAAGGTCAATCTATGTGTTGTACTGACGTAGGGCATTTATTTTGAAAGAGACTGTATGTAAATGGTTAACTTCCTGTGAAAGCGGAAGTGTATTTTGAAAGTAGACAATGCATGTAACAGGCAGAATGTCAACAACCAACACGCCCAGGGTACGTTGCATGTCATATCTGGATGTGGAAAGTCCATGGCCAAAACGCCAATATGTGACGAGGTCGGAGTGAGAATGTGTTGGTAGTTTGTAACTCATTCCCAGTGTGCTCACCATAAATCTAATTTAGTTTTGATACTATGGGCAACCTCACTGTTGGACCATGGTGGCCATGCATTTTATTTCAGCCCTTCTTGATTTTCTGAAACACAGTTAGAAAACAAAACAAAAAAAACCACAAATAACTTAAAGCAGTAAATATCTTAAAATAAGAAAAGGAAACATCAGCCACTGCATCACTGAACAAAACAAATAAGTTGTTACTGCATTATACAGTTGGGACAAATGTCTTCACACAGAATCATGACATTTAGAATAATTGTGTAAATGAGAAACAATATACAAAAACTAAGGTGTACAGTAGTGTTTTTTGTCATATGATATTCAGTGATCTTAAAAAAAAAAAAAAAAATCAACGATAATAGACAAAAGAACTTGATCCCCAGAGATGTTAAGACATAAAATCACATCAGTTTCACCTCCTTTTGTTTGAGACAGTAGATCCACAGGTTCGATCCTCATTCAGCTTGGTGGAGCATGAATATCCACATTGATATAAGTGAACAGTTTATCCCTCACAATCTCCTTGACTGTATACTTTAAGGAATTAATCCCATCTTCATTCATGGTCAAATGGGTTTGGTGCATCTTGTCAGGATTCTTTGGGTTAGCTTCATTGTGCAGGTCTCTCTTATGTTTGACCATCCTGTACTTTCCTGTCACCATGTCAGGTCGAGAAATGGACATTCCACGGAGGATAATTCGCTTATACATATCGTCGTCCTCACCACCCCAGCCCCAGTAAGTGTTTGGGAAGCCATTAATCTTCAAGAACTGCTCCTTGGACAATGCAATAACCCCACCAAAGTAGTGGTCATAGGGTAAGTGGAAGTTGAATTTGTCCATAGCCAAAGCCAAGTGTCTGGGACTGTCAAAACATCTGTAGAGGTTACGGTCATCCATAGGAACCAGATCTACGTCAGAGAAGACAAAGCACTCAAAATCATATTCCTTCAGTGCTTCAGCGTAGCCTGCGTTCATCAGTTTCGCCCGGTTAAACACTCCCTCTCCATCCTGGTTGATGACATACACACTGTAGTCCGACTGCTGTCGCATCAAAATAGGATGGAGGTAATACAGCCAGTGCTTAAGGTGCTCATGCCGATTTCTGAATGGGATGATGATCGCCACCTGAACGAGTGAAATTAGAAAGTTTACTTTCACATAAAATGTAGAGTGTCATTCAAAGGACAGATTTTTTGATGTGGGTTTGTATGAGGTGCTTATCCATAGACATAGATAGTAAGTTTACTTTTACATAAATGTAGATCATCATTAAAGACATAGTTAAGATTTTTGAAGTGGGATTGTGTGAAGTACTTATCTACAGTACGTGTAATTAGAGGAGCTGGCACGAGAGCCAGGTCCCACTCCGAAGTCATGGAAATCCCACGCTTAGGCACTGACTTGCAGCGTCAGACAAAAAAAGCTGTCCCTTAATGTCGGCATGATATGCCGCCGGTTGCCATTATAGTTTGACACTGCCCAGCAGCGTCAGGGGGAAACGAGCAGGACAAGGACGAAAGTTAAAGTGGCGAAAGTCTGACTGGGGCGGGCGGAGGGGTGGTGGATGGGTCCAACGAACATCGAATTTCACCCGAGAGAGTGGGGTTCATTCCCCCAAAAAACTCAATTCGGGGTGTTGAAATGGAAGGGTATTTTGAAAGAAGACAATGCATGTAACAGGCAGAATTTGGCACAGTGTCCCAAAACGTCAACAACCAACGCACCCAGGGTACCTTGCACGTCATATGTGGACGTGGAAAGTCTGTGACAAAAACGCCAATATGTAACGAGGTCAGAGTGAGAATGTGTTGGGCAGGAGTACCACCACAGACATTAAGCAATGCACTGCTTTGGACGGGGGCAGCAGCAACATAAAATTTAGCCACCTCAATAAAGGCCCACTTAAAAAAATGAATCTCATATTAGGTTTCCAGTATGTTTAGAATATTTTCACCACTTTAATTTGCTATCAAATGGTCCTTTCTGACTGGGAACTACAGCTGTCATGTATGCTCTCTTCAAAGCCACCGGACTCCTTTGACAAAACCATAATTTAACCTCGCAGGACAAGTGAGTTGCTGGTCCACTGCCTTGCCTTTGCTGGTTTAAACTGTTAAGACAAACAAATTCACCTATTGAGGTAGCAGATCAGTGGTTCCCGTTTTCTGTGAGGTTATTGGGTTTGTCAAAGGAGTCTGGTGGATCTGAGGAGAGGATAGATAATGGCTTCAGTTCCCTATCGGAAAGGGCTGTGTGGCGGCAAGGTGAAGTGGTGAAAACATTCTAAATATAGTGTACACTTGAAACTGATATTAATCATTTTTCACAGCTTTTTTTGAATTACTTGGTAGCTAAAATACGTTTTTGCTGCCGGCCCCATCCACAGCAGTACATTGCTTAGCTTCCATGGCACTACTCCTGCCTGCTTCTCCAAACTAGTGGCGCGCCGACCGCCATCTACTGCAGGCAATACGCTGACTTTGGGTAAATACTTCATACAACCCCACTTTAAAAAATCCAAACCATCCCTTTAAGGAATCCCTTTGTTAGGAATCCACAACCATGATAAACTGCTCCAATTATACATTTATTTGTTCACCTCTCCTTTTATTCACCTACCTTCTGTTGGGCAATACAGTCTGGTGGTTTGTGCTGTCCGCCTTCCTGAAGATGAGATTCGACCTCCTTTCTCACATCGTCCAAAGTCCGTGTGGAATCAAACTCCACATAGAGTGGACCCACAAGATTTGGAAGGGTGTCAGGGCAGGGTCCCAAAGTCTTGCTCATAGTGCGTGGCACATGTATCTTTTCTTGGCCTTCATTTGGAGCTTTAGTCGTCAGGTTAAAAAGTTCCTTAATCCACTGGGAAAGTGCGTCGTTTCCGTTTTCCATACTTTGTGGTTTTGTAAAAAAAAATAAAGTGCTGTTTCTGCTGTGAAATAGAAACACAACAAAATATGCCACACTGAGAAGAGAAAAAAAGACCAGGATGTGAAAAAGTTTTCTCAGCATATTTGCCTCCTTTGACGTTAAGTACGGTCCTCTCAGCGACTCTTGTACAGCTCAGCTGCCTGCATTTTTCTTGACAAATCAAAGTTGTGCCAACCAAGACAGCAACCAGACACGTTTTATCTACTTGTGGGCAGCTTCCTTTTTTACGTAACCTGTTCAGGTTGGACGAGATGCTCACGCTGATAAGGTACAGCAGTGCCCTTCACCAGTTGTCTCTCTGCCTCATTTCTTTGTGAGAGGAATATTCACTGCAGACGCTTTTTTTGCAGATGTTTTCATTTCTTCTCCGGGAAAAACAAAAGCATGTATGATTTCTTTTTTTAAATCTTTAGAAAAGTGAGGTTTTGTTTTTGACCTAATCAGCTGACGTGTAGGAATATGGAAGTTCTACTAAGGGTTATCCGAGCAGTGAAAATATTTCCTCTATAGCGTCCACTTAGACTGATATTAATGGTTTTTAAGGTAGGCCTTTTGTAACCCCCATCACAGTGCATTGCTTAGCTTCTGTGGTGGTTGCCACTTCAAACAAGGAGCTTGCCCCCTGACATCTCATGTAGATAATACACCAACTATGGATAAGTACCTCACGCAGCCTCACCTCACCTCAGTGTAAACCATGGCTTCTGAGAACAGAATAATCCGGTTTAAGAGCCTGTTGAATTTGTCAGAACCAATACAAAATGTGTCTTATTAAATCAGAAATATATAATAAATCTCTTCTTTTCAGACTGTGATTTTTTCTGCTTTAGTAACTGCAATGCAATAAAATAAATACAGTTAGGTTTTAGTTTATATGCCTTTCTATACAATATACAGTGCCCTCCAAAAGTATTGGAACAGTGAGTCCAATTCATTTACTTTTGTTGTAGACTGAAAATATTTGGGTTTGACATCAAAAGATGAATATGAGACAAGAGATCAACATTTCAGCTTTTATTTCCAGGTATTTACATCTGGATCTGATACACAACTTAGAAGATAGCATTATTTCTAATGGAACACAAAATTTTTAGGTGAGCAAAAGTATTGGAACATATAAACTTAGAATAGATTAAAGTGAATGAGACTTAATATTTAGTTGCAAATCCTTTGCTTTCAATAACTGCATCAAGCCTGTGACCCATTGACATCACCAAACTTTTGCATTCTTCTTTTGTGATGCTTTTCCAGGCTTTCACCGCAGCCTCTTTCAGTTGTTGTTTGTTTTGGGGGGTTACTCCCTTCAGTCTCCTCTTCAGCAGGTAAAATGCATGCTCTATTGGGTTTAAGTCTGGAGACTGACTTGGCCAGTCTAAAACCTTCCACTTCTTGCCCCTGATGAACTCCTTTGTTGTTTTGGCAGTGTGTTTTGGG